TTATAATAAGATCTAGCAATGAAGGAGCCTGACCTGGGCGGAACCTCGTAGGTTGGTCTACGTGTTGATTCCAGGAGTTTTCTAGTGCTAGATCAATAAGAGGACGCCCAAAGGAAAGGTTAGATGAGTATGCTCTGAGCCAGTCAAGACCCGGGGCAATAAAATCACCCGTAATTAGAAGGTGGGTGAAGGGATGAGTGCTACTTATTGACCTTAATTGGTCAATGAGTAGTTGGCTTTCGATGGGAGAACTCTGGGTAGGACGATATACAACTCCAAGTAGGAGTGTGGCTAAACTTAAGAGTTTGAGTTTAACCCATAAAGTATCTATTCGGCCTATTGGGTCGACGGAACTAAGAAAGGGAGGAGGGAGGGCGCAACTAAAGTAAGCTATGATACTACCTGCTCTGCCCTGAGATGAGTGTGATCTTAACAATTTAAAGCCGGGAATGGAGATTTCCCCGTCTAGGACATTATCGTAGAGCCAGGTCTCGGTGAGGGTGATGACATGGGGGCGTTGCTCCGAGGTAAGTTGCTTTGGTTCAAGAACTTTGTTTGGGAGGCTAAGACAGTTGCTAGAAATGCACTTAAGTATGGGTTCATCAAAGTCCTTGAGTCCGTTAGGGAGAAAGGCGGGACCGGTTGAGCAGTCGGAAGCGACATTAGAGGTGGTCGACATACGGTTTGAGCGTACGTTGTTCGGGGGCTATCCTGGGAAGGTATCTCACCATCGGTGGGGTTTTCTTTATCAGCCCCTATATGCGGGTGACCTATCGCACCCTTCGTCCGAAAAATTGCTCTGTTGTTGCCGTTATCGAGCTGGGAGGGTACACCGCAGAAACTACCATTCACTGGGTGAAGCGTTGGTCCTTTATCGGCCTCCGGCAGNTTTCGCAGCGTGTCCAGATGCACCTGATTGCGACTGGGAGGGTCCCCGAGGAGCCCTCTTCTAGTGTTAGGTGGGGCTAGTTTGCGGACCGGACTGGGTTTAGTCTGTTTTTTACTCTTCAGCTTCTTTTGCTTCTTATTCCCAGAGGCCTTGATTGAAGTCTGATTCTGTTCTATAAAACTGCTGTTTGCTGAGCTGGCCGCCATTGGTTTAAGGCACACGACTGTCTCGTCTAAGGGTATGGGGTCCGGGGAAGCGGGTTGAAACTTAAAAAACCTTTGAGTCCGACCGAACAGCTAAGATGAAAGCGCTTCTCAACAGTTCGGCGCCTCTAGGATCAACTTTTGAACCTTTCAACTTGGGCTGTGAGTCTCACATGCAGCGGTTTATCTATGGAGACACCTCTCAAACCTAACCGGGAGCGTTTAAGGGTGGGAACTTTGATGAGAACATCATTGGCAAACTTGGAAGACCCCATGTCGATAAGAAGGCCGAGACGTCTGGGCGAACCTTTGGCGGTTATCCAGGTACAGCTAAGGGGTTTGAATTTATGCGGTTGTAGAAGGCTGCATATATGCTTACATATGCTTTCTAAAGTGTCAGACATAGAGAACCGCCTCCGGAAAATAACCCGCTTTGCACATTGTTCGCTATCATTTAGTTTTTTTGCTGCGTCTAGTATTTCTTGCTGTGAAAGCTTAAGAGCCGTATTCGCAGCACAGGTTGTTGGGACTGACGTTAGGAGCAGAGCTTGTAAGTTGGCTAGCTGGTCGCCAAATATACTCAACCTAGCTTTAAGGTGCTTTATTTCTATCGCTTGCTCGTGAATAAGTCCCAACAGATCGGTCGAAGAGTGTTCCGTGCTCAAGGTAGCCTCGTCTTGACGCATTGGGAAGGTATCTTCGTCTAGAGACAGAGGGAGCTGGTGAGCGGACAACATGACTAAAAATTCAGTAAGGATAGTATATTTTCCTAATTTCGGAAATGCAAAATTGAGATAATGGGGGCTATAGACTAGCGAGAAATTCGACAGCAAGGAAGGATCAAATTTCGAACGTACCGCAGAGGATCAAGGTCCAGTGTCTCCCTCTTCTATCTGTCGCAGCATCGGGGGATCCAAGGAGCCCACAGATGCAAGAAACTGGACTAACTGGCACACCGCCGTCAACGTTCTGGAACTGAACTGATTTGTACTTTTAATGGATCAGCGTGTGTTCGTTGAGGCTGACGAGTCCCACTCGTGTCAAGGCCGCTTCAGATAGATATGTCGAAATCGTCGTCAACGGAAATTACGGTTGACAAATGGAACGGTTCGGCTGTAAAAAACGCTCTTGATGATGCTGCGAAAGAGGTATTTTTATTCATCTGTTTGATCATCTACAGGTATTATCACAACAATTCGAATTGGTCGAAAACCACTCACTTTTTGACGGACGGTTAATTCTGTGTACGCTCTCGGTACTTATCGCCGGTTTTGGGGTCTTGTGGGACTACTTACACCCACATCCAGAGTCTAGAATGGTATTGATTATCTGCGTTGGTGCGTATTTCGTGTTATCAGGTATCATTACATGTTATGTAATGTTCGTGGAGAAAAATATATTTTACGTGGGTAAAAAAGTTGATCCCACCGGTTTGGACCCACCAGATGTTTGGAAGTTATCGTCGCAAGTGCGGAGGTATAATGCTTTCTTACGTCAAAGCGGAATTTTAGATATGACCCACATTATCAGTTGACTCTGGTAATAACCGATGGCACAAGTGGAAAAACAAAGACGGCGGTTATGAATCGTCGGTTTGATGAATTTTTCGATGTAAAAGGAAAGCTGCGCATTGACCTCTACAGCCCCGCTGTGCTTAGACTGAGTTCCGATATTCTGGATAAGAAGAAATGAATGCAATGGCCGTTATTTCATTATTTGTGACCTGATTCCTGGCTTGTACATTCGGTTTTTGATGTGGTGTTTTTGAAGTAAACATCCAATATTCCATACTTATTTTTGTGTTGACACGGAATCCTTTTCCCTAATCGCATTTTTGTTGAACTTGTCGATTTATAAGTGTCCGGTTCCTTGCATTTACATGTTCTCGTGCAGCGGCATATCCTCGACTATGTTCAGTACCACGCCTAACCTTACTGAGTTCCATGTGGTTCGCAACTCTAAATCCCATGTTTTAGGCTGCTGGTCTCCATGTCCAAACATCAGGTCTGCGTGACGGAGACCACCTGATCTGCTGTTCACCACAAGTGTAATGGAAAAAATCTGTTTCTTCATTGGTGTCTAATTTCGACTGTTCAAGAGATCAAACCATAAGGGTCACTAGTGTAAATGGGCGGATGACCAGTAAGGTACANNNNATGATGATTACTCCCACCTCATTATTAAGGCATAATATTGGTATATTTGAGGACCACAAGGTGGATTAGTTCCCAGGTGAGGTACTCGAAGTGCATTTAGTCTATTGATGCCCGTGTGAACTGTCATCATTAAATGACCTCGTTCGCTGTTAAGGTATTCTATAGTAGTTTGTAAAGCTTAGGCACACAGTCAAGTTAGAGGCATGAGAGGACAAGTGCTACAGAATTTTAACGTTTATAATCTCCTGAGTCGTTACGTCACATGGGATAAAGCAACTTACTCTTTCAAGTCTCTTTAGCCAAGTCTGATATATCGTCTCCGTTAATCATCGTGATTTCTCGGTCTACGGGCCATTGAAGGCGAAATAAATTGGAAAGCGTTGAGTTGGTTGCCACTCATATATCAGTCCTGATAGGTACGAGTCTTCGTGTGCTGCTGTTACACAGATT